GATGCAATCTACAAATGCTGGCCAGCACTTGTTGACTGTCTTGGGCATCAAGCTACTGAAGATAATAGTAAAAATGCAGCAAAGGCTTAAGGATACTTGAAGCAAGTCCAGCAATACAAATTTGTTGCAGCAACTTGTATGTTGAAGGATGTGCTTCCAACATTAACAAAGCTTAGTGTGTTTTTCCAAAAAGATAATGTCGGTCTTGCATCTGTGGAACCCATGGTAAAATCTACTATTGCCACAATACAGACACTAAGGAATGACTTACAGGAAGAACTTGCAAACCTACCTAGCCTTAAGGAACTTAACCAGCAAGTGCTCACAAGTGGTTTGTATTGTGAAGAGGAACTTCAACAGGCAGGTGCTAATGCAAGGCAAGTCTTTATTAATGCTGGTCAAGCATTCCTGGGCAATTTAATTGAAAACCTTCAGGAGAGGTTTCCAAGTGAGACACTAGATATCTGCAAAGCTCTCGACCTTGTAGTCAACCCTCAATCGCTTCCCCAGAGTGCTGCTGATATTGCTGCTCATGGAGTGGATGCTCTGAACAAGTTTATTGAACACTATGGCCAGCAAAAGACTGTTGTTGACAACAGAAATGTTAAGCCCGATTGACCCATAAGTAACGGGAGTGGACTACCTTCAATTCAAGTTTCTCCTGAACACCCACCGTCTTTTGAGCATGCAAGAATTTAGCAAAAAGTTCCTAACTGATGAAGGTCTCTGTGAACAGTTTCCAACTTACAAGACTCTTGTCAATATTGCATTGACAATTCCTGTGTCTAGTGCTGCATGTGAGGGGGGCTTTTCTTGCCAAAACAGAATCAAGACAGGTATACAAAACAGATTGAATGAGCAAAACCTAGACAACCTAATGAAAGTTGCAATTGAAGGACCCCCACTGGCACGATTTGATTTTCAGAGGGCAAAAGAAATCTTCAAAGAGCAGCGTTGTTGCAGAAAATAGAGAAACCTTAGTGTCCTTCTGCCCATCTTTCAGTTGCCCCTTGTTTCTTATGAAATGTCACTGTGTCTAAGTTGAAATATTTGTAATTGAAATTCAATGGTTTATTTGCTATTCATTTGAAAAGCAACAAGTTTTGTCTTGGAGGGCTGTCAAGATAATTATTTGGACCCACAAGAAAAGCTAGGGACCCATATTTGGCCAGATATATGGGTCCTTGGACCCAGACTGAAAAATCCTAGCGCCATCCCTGAAAGTGGTACAACATTACATGTGGAGGACACATTGCTTTCGAGCAAAACGAAATTAAGTTTTAAGATACACATCATCCAGTTTAATCCTAAATCACTTGATCATAATTAGAAATTATTTTCTTTACATTAACGCAGTACATGATGAAAAAAGAACCCTATTTTGTAACCCTTGTTAATGAAAAGTTGAATTAGAAAAATATATTGCAATTACGACAAACTACTTTCTTTTAACAAAAAATGGTCCAACTTTTTAAACAATTTATTATTGGAGGCTAGCTGTGCAAATGCAAATACTGTTACTATCCATTTGTAAGTAACTTATTACATTTATCAATTTGTAAGTAATTGTAGTGTATCGTAATGTTCGTATTGTTCTTAGTAGCGTTAGTATCGTTTTGCTAGTATTATCGTATTGTAAGTAGTTTATTTCTTTACGTCGCTTTTAGAACCTTATTGTAAAGTAATTTGTTGTGCATGAAATAAATAAGTTTATTTAAAAAAAGGATCTCACTCATGGCAAAGACTTCCCTTTCACATTGATCCCATGGTTTGGTATCTCTTCTGGGTCAATCTAGATTGGTTCATCTCCATCATCCCCAACAGGCCACAACCCTTGTATATTCACGCCATAATTTACACACCCATCGAACCCGTTCAACATGTCAAAAAAACAATCTACAGACTGATGAATCAATAGTCCCCCACACAGTCTGCAAATGTCTTTCATCCCTCAGACACAGGTCACACTTCTATCAGGTGGTGGAACAAAACCACACAGGACA